GCTGGTATTTTCCGAGCTTGACCGATCTAAGAATCTTGCTTCAGATTATTGTACCGATTTCCAATTTATACCTACTTACGAGATGATTAACTGCATGCCATATTTTTATTTTATATAAATTAAAAGTTTATCGAATTAGGGTCACGAAGTTGGAATCTCTATCATCCGTTCATTATAGCCTCGTGCTGTGAAGCTTGAAGTCCAAAATTGTTGTTAAATAATTAGTTATTACTATTGCTTTCTTTTGTGAGCAAAACCTAAATATTGATAACTGCTGCTGAGTTTGAACTAGCGACTGCTAACTTGCTGGTTCAACGCTTAGACAGCTTAGCATCACAGGCAAGTAACGTCATGTTTGCAATGTTGTGTTGTTCTTTATGCTTTTCATACAAAATTCCCTCACTTGCGAATTTCTAACTTTCTCTATCTTATTGCTCAATTTTGAAACAAAAGGAAGCTTTGGTCAGCCTCTTAGCTGTAAAGCCATTTATTTTTTGCATATGATAGAATTAGACAAATTGACATTAATATAATTTTCCATTCTTAGCTTTATAGTCCATCCAAAGATTTCTATTCACAGAAAGCAACAGGCAAAAATATATAATAACTCAAAATGCCTACATCTGAAATTTGAGCCCCAAATATACTTGTTGATCAATTCACCAAATACTGATATGCCGATTTTAGATTTTTATTTTTATTTCAAGTTCAAATACCTTAGCCGCGAACTTAAGCTTCTACTTGAAATATAACATCACATACCCAACATAGTATATGGTCCTATATATTAAGTTAAACTTATGAGATAAGCCCGCGTATTGAGAACAAAATATATGTTTGTATGTATGTACGTAAAACCAACATCCAACGTCGAACACAACAATGGATACAGTAGACCGTTCAAGGAGTAGATGAGAGATGGAGAAAAGCACAAAGTCAAAGAAGTAGATATTAAGAATATAATTGGGCAGTCAAATCAAATCAAAGAACAGGGGAAGCTGGAGTGCTAGATCGAATTCTAGTTGCCAAATGCTTGTCGAACTCAGTGGTGATAGTAGGCATGTGGGTCAGCGGCGGGTGCGGGCAGAGCGGCAGGATAGTGTGCGTACGGAGAATGGGCAAGTGCTGGATAGGCGGCTTGGAAATGGGCGGTGGGCAGGTGAGCGGGAGCCACGGGTACTGGTGCGGGAGCAGGAGCAGGTGCTGGTGCTGGAGCGGGTGCAGGTCCTCCATGATGTAAAGCGCTCAAGGCATACGGATAGGAGAGCAATGGTAGCGAGGCCTTGGGCACTGGTGGCAACGGAGGTGCTGGCGCCGGTCCTGCAACTGGAGCATGCGGTGCAGGCGCTGGCCCAGGCAGCGGCTTGTAGGCTAATGGCTCCTTACGCACAACTGCATTGAAGCCATGATGGGGATCGGCTGTGTAGTCAACGGTGCGCTTGGTGCCATCCGGATCCACAACCGAATAGCTGCCCTTCACCACATCGCCATGGCGTGTTTCATGCTGACTCTTCAGATCACCGGTGTAGCCGTCCTGTATGTCATAGCCAAAGGAGTACTTGGGATCAGCATCGTACGGTTCCGGTGCTGGCTTGGGTGCTGGAGCTGTACTCAAAATGTTTTTTCAGATTGCATTTAAATTTCTTCAATGTCTCAATCTACTCACCAGGTGCCAAATATTGCGGTGGTCCGTGATGTGGACCATAACTTGCATAGGCATGCAAAGGTCCAGCCGGGCCACCATAGTAGGGCCCGGGTCCAATAACGCCTGCATAGGCAATGCCAAGCGCAGCGCTTAGCAGAAATATCTGCAAGAAAGATTATCAGACGATTGTTAATACAACTGGCACTCAAATATCACTCATAGCATTATTGTAGTTTGAAGCTTATGGACTATCACAAGGTTAATAATTGAAGCAGTATTTCCATCGAGTGGATGCATTCTGTTCAAGTATAGCTATCATTAACACATTCATTTGGCACACCTTCAGCATTGCACTGCTTAGATGTCCTTGCGCGTCTCTCCACTTGTCGATCCTTTTATTAGCCCAAACACCGAACACCACTTGGAATGTGGCCAACCGACTCTTAAGGCTTGGAGCACAACGACGAGCACACTAGAAGAAGAAACAACAACTGCAAACGCTTCGATGGCGTTCTGGCAATTTATAGTAAACTGGCGGCAAATGTCGCCTGCTTCACATGGCGCAAAAGACCAAGCGAACAATAAACTAATTGAAGATCAACACTGAGAGACCAGTTAAGAGCCCCAGACTGATCATGCCACATGGCGCGCACTAAACAACCACAGCAACAACAACAACAACAACAACAACAACAGCAATATAAACAACAAGTTAGTATATATAAGACTAAGACTGGGCAGCCACCTGGCACTGAATCGAATCGTGTGCCTGGGTTCAACTTTGGCGCTGCCATCGCCGCCGTCTTAGAAAGGTTATTCTTCCGCCAAACCATTTAAAGGGACCCGGGGAGACCCGTTCGTTGTTTGCCCTTTCACTTTTGTGTGCCATGTTTGTGATTCGTTTGCGATTTAGCCAATTGTGTGAAAATGTATTTTGCTGCACACACAATTGAAATGTTAATTTATTATCGGCTAGGACTTTGGCCAAGCTTAAAGGCGCGTAATTAGTTCCAGCTATGAGAAAAATCCAAACGGCAAACGCCAAATCCAATGAAATGGCAGTCGGCAGCAACAACCACAACAAAAACAACAACAACAGCAGCAGCAGCAACAACGTCGCGCATGCACAAAAGGTCAGACAGTCGACAATTAAATTACAACAAACCAAATGTCTGACTCCAGCAGCCGCCGAATAAAGCGAAAGGTCAACTTGCCCACCGCTTAAGTAACGGCACATTTGCGCCCTGACACAGCCACGCTCATGCATAACCAGTCCCCAGTTCCCCGGTTACCCGGTTGCCCGTACCCAATCCTTTAAGCTCCATGCCAGAACGAATAATGTCATTTGTTTCATGTTCACTTAGTACTCTTAATTTATTATCGCAAATTTGTTACAGTCCACAGATATCCAAAGGTATTGACAGCTCCAGCCATTGGCGCAGATATAGCAATAAATCGTGCAAGTTGCCGTTATTCAATACAACATTTGTAGCTTGACGAAAAAAAACAATTGATCAGAACAATGTCCAATTGTAGGTTACTTTTTATACCCTGAACCCATTAAAAATGGGTATAAGGGTATATTGTATTTGTGCGAAAGCCAAATGTATGTAACAGGCAGAAGGAAGCATTTCCGACCCCATAAAGTATATATATTCTTGATCAGCATCAATAGCCGAGTCGATCTAGCCATGTCCGTCCATCTGTCCGTCCGTCCGTCCGTCTGTCCGTTCGTTCCGTATGTATGAACGCAAGGAACTCAGAACCTATAAGAGCTAGAAATTTCAGATGTATATGCTCCTAGTTCCCGCGCAAATCGAGTTTGTTTCCGATAATCGATAACTTACTCCGTTTCCAAGCAATCGATAAAAATCGATATCGATATCATGTTTTTTGGGCAATTTTGGTAAATAATAAAAGCTAGAGTCACCAAACTTGACATATAGCTTCTAAAATAGAATATATATATGCATTTGATGTTGGAAGAAGAGGGTTCAGGGTATCCCCTAGTCGGGAGCTCTCGACTTGAGCCTCTAACTTGTTTTAAGCATAAGTTATAGAGGCGCCTACATACTCTGCTAATTCAGCTGAGTGGAAGAGTAGAAGTCAATGAGGCGACAGATCAAAAATGTAAGTAGTTAAAGCTGTTTTTATGCACTATTACCATTAAATAGGTACAAATTTATACGAATAAACGATGGATTAATGGTTTAATTTAAAAGTATGCCATCGACCGGCTTATTTTAGATAACTCGGCCTTATAGCAAACTAAAAGTATTATGCAAATAATTTAAATTGATATTATTATAGTAATCGATATTCATTTTTTTTTTTAATTATTAGATTTTTATTAAATGGCTCTTAAGGTCGCTTCTTTAGTTAAGTTCGCCAGGTTTTTAATCGATATTCTGTGCCAAATATATTTTCAAGCTAAATAAAGATTGAAAAGCAATTCAAATTCATATTAGGACCAAAAGTTTGGTTCCTTCAATTATCTGTTCAAGCAGCTAAATTTCAAATATATTAGAATAGTCAGAAACGACTACAATCGTTCTATAACTTAAGATATTTTTTATTATATATATTTTGTATATATGTTAGAATGCTCCCTCGGGTAAGATCAGCATCAACAGTCGAATCGATTTTGCCTTGTGTGTTTGTCTGTCTATCTATGCACATGAACGTGGCTAAATTTTCCATACGCAAATCAACTTGTTATCGATAATTAAAACAAATCTTTTTTTATACATTTCTAGGCTCTCCTAAGATCGATAAACATCAAGTTTTTAGGGATAATACACCCATGAGGTAAGAACACAAAAATTGGAATTGCTGCACACTGATCAAGCATATCTGAATTTTTTGGATACTTACCTTTTCCCTTTTGTCTCCAAGACTTATTCAAAAGTTGCTGGTTGATTACTTTGATGACTGGATCAGCTAGACTGCCGCATTTTAATTAAATAATTGAAAGAGTATTTACTATTCGGTAACGCACAGAAAGCTGTCGATATGGATTGGCTGGCGGAGTAAATTGTGATAGGTACTAACCGTCACCAACAAATACTGATACTTGAGGTTCTTTCCATTTTTTAATTACCAATTTGATGTTGATTCGGAAATGTATTAAAATGTGTTTATGGATGGCCTAGGATAAATTGAACAACTGACTGAGTGCATTTTCTGTTAATAAGGCGGCGGATACGAAAGCAGTTGACGGTGGGCAACAGTCCCAGTTATCAAAGTGGGTCAGCTGTTTTCTTTAGTAAAACATGTGTCATTATTGACGCTTTTTTATGGCATTGCTGCACTGATTTAGTGTTTAAGCGGCAGATCTCAGCGCTTTTAGTTAGTCCTCAATTGCAATTTGTGAGTAGATGTCCAAGCGGTGGCAACATGGACTTCTCCACTGTGCTCGAAAAATGCGGAGACTTTGGGCGATTCCAACACGTGATCTTACTCTTGTACGGCTATACGAATATACTCAGCTCCCTGCACTACTTTTCACAAACTCTTATAACATTTACTCCAGAGCATTGGTAAGAAGGTAAGAAACAGCGATTTCGCGAATCGTATTCATTGTTTAAATATGCCTAGGTGTTACCATGACGACCTGCAGCATTTGAATATGTCAGAAGTTCGCTCGATATACGCAAATATGACCAATAAATCTTGCACATTATTGGAGGGAGTGGTCAATGGAACGGCTGTTGCAGCTGAGACTGGTCGGTGCCAGGATTGGATATTTAAGCGTGAACAAGGCTACGAAAGTGTCACAACTGAGGTAATTGTGTATTCGGATGCGACGTAAGCAACAACTTCATCGATTTGCACCAATTGCAGCTCAAATGGGTTTGCGACAAATCGCATCACTCGGCCGTCGGTCAATCGTTCTTCTTCATTGGCTCAGTTGTGGGCACCGTGATATTTGGAAACCTCTCAGACCGCATTGGACGTCTGCCAGCATTGCTGCTGGCCACAATAGCAGGAGCATCAGGAGATTTCCTCACCTCGTTTGTTTACAGTTTTCCATTATTTGCGTTTTCACGTTTTGTTTCCGGCCTCTCCACCGATACCATGTACTATTTGATGTATATTTTAGGTGAGTTTTGAGTTTCAATAATGTGGATATATTTTGTGATCTTGTGGATGCTAACAAACAGTTTCAACTTTCCAGTGTTCGAGTACCTGAGTCCCAAACGTCGCACCTTTGGTCTCAACATTATACTCGCCTTCTTTTATTGCTTCGGATTGATGACTTCCCCCTGGGTGGCCATTTGGATTGGCAACTGGCGCCACTACCTCTGGCTAGCTTCGTTGCCCGCCCTCGGGGTGCTCGCCTACCCGCTGTTCATCTGCGAGAGCGCCCAGTGGCTGCTCACCAAGAAGAAATACGATCGCGCCGTGAAATGTCTGAAATGGGTGGCTAAGTTCAATGGGCGACAGGTGGAGGACTCTGTGTTCTACGAGTTCGTCAAGCACTACAGCGAAAAGATAACCGAGCATCAGAAACTGACAACCTATGAGGACACATTCATGGGAATGTTCAGAACACCGTATCTCCGACGCTGCACACTCTCCTTGCTATTCAAATCGTGAGCTACTGCCAATAATTCGTAATATCTGATTATGGCAACTTTTTATTCCATACAGTGTCATAATCACACTCTCCTACGATGTAATAAACCGCAACATGGAAGGCCTTGGAACCTCACCATTTAAACTATTCTCTTACACGTCAATCAACTATTTACCAGCCGGCTGTACTATTCTCCTGCTCCAAAACAATATCGGCCGGAAGGGCATGGCCTGTGGTGCGTTGATGGTGGGGGGCATTATCACCACAGTTACAGGCTTTCTAATTGCCTTCATGGACCCTAAGGAGAATGCTCTTCTGCTGGCTATTATGATCGGACTGGGCCGCTATGGCGTCACGGTGTCCTATGATGCTGAGATTCAATATGCCGCCGAGATAATACCAACCAGCGTGAGAGGGCGTGCCCTCTCCAATATACATGTCGTAGGCCTGGCCTCCAACTCGCTGGTGTTCTATGTGATCTACTTGGCCAAGTTCTATAAGCCATTGCCATCCATCTTCATAAGCTGTTTAATGTTCCTTGGAGCTGGCTTGTGTCTTACTCTTCCGGAAACTTTGAACCAGTATGTTTCTAGCTTGATTTGTCGTTAATTATGGCATAATTCTCTGTTATACAATTTCCAACTTTTAGAAAGCTGCCGGAAAATCTCGCCGAAGCGGAAAGTTTTGTTAAGAATCAGCCTAGCCTTTACTTTCCATGGTTTCGCAAATGTGAAACAAGTTCGCCAATTACAGTTTAAAGCTTCTAAGTTTGCATTTAAAATAAGTAGTTAAATGTGGTGGACTAAGAAATAATAATTTCAAATTTGAAATTTGTTTTGCAGCGTGCGAGGAACATGCATACTGTGTATGCATTGTGTGCTAAAAGACGACTTGTAATTTGCATAAATCTTTTAGTTGACAAATACTAAGGATAAACTGATAAGCTTTAATATTTGTTTTAAATATTAACGACCTTCCTCAGGATATTATCATGTATTATATATCATGTCAAATTAAATTCCATAGCTTATATTCAAAACTGCTTTATTAATGTTTCTTAAGAACTCCCACCTTTGATTGCTTTATTACCGTAATTATTATTATTACCTAATACAACACTTTCTGCTTAATTTTCATAATATTTTCTGACACCTCCCACTAACATCAACATCCACTTTTTTCGACAACTTAAGGCAAACTATCGAGCTAAAAAAGAGACTCCCGACGTATATCGATTGAATAGGTAAAATTCCTTTAAAGTATACAAAATAACGATTAAAATCTGAAGAGTTGTAACGCTGCCATAACTTATATGTCTGTGTATATACATCCAACTTATATACGAAACGAAACTTTATATAGTTGTAAGCTTTTGTGATGAAAGTGCATACTTTGAAAAATTCTACCCGCAAACATGGAAAATTAAGGGAAAACTTCTATGAAACATTTTGGATACTCATTTAAGTACATTTTATTTGTGATGTGATTTGAATAATCCGACCCTCCTGCGGGATTATGGGTCCAAAGGATGTGGACGGAAGATTAACTTATTTTAACTTATGCATCACAAAACAATAAATACTAGAAGGCTACATATTTAAGAGTATTATTTTATATATTTGTATCATAACGACAAGGCGGAAAGTAAATATTAGGCAAAATATTAAGCATCACAGTAAACAATTTCTTATATTTATCTTAGCCTTATTCTCTACAAATATAATTATCTTTATATTCCCCTTTATAAAGTGTGGCATCTAATTGTCAATATTTAAAGAACTCTTCAAAAGATCTATATTGTGTCGTTGACCGATTTGAGTAAAATTTTGTTAAATAATCTTAATTATTTATAGTTTGTAGTTTGTAGTTTGTCGGCCTATGCACAAATAACAGTTATTAATCAATTGCAAACGTATCTTATTCTAAATACAGTTCATATTTCACCTGCACATGGAACATCTAATGATTGTGAAAATTATATAGAACAGCCAAAAATATATGAGACGTAGACAATAATTCGGTATTGACGCACATCTTATTTGGGAATAGCACTTGTTTCAACATGCATATTATTATTAATAATAACAACACGAGAGCAATAACAAAATATTTGTCGAATATGTCTTTGCAAGTATATTACTTTAAGCAATATTTTATAGCCCGGCAAACAAAACAAAATTAATTTCAAATTCGACCAATAATAAAACAAAATTCTTGTGTGGCACCGAATCCAAAATGTGCCCTAAAACCATGAATAGACATATTTTGATTATAAAAGATTCCAACTGAAATCATATAAATAGTAACTGTGTTAAGTTCAAATGAGTTCTCAATACTTCCTAAATATTTCATATTATAATGATATCCACGCATAAGTACGAAAAGTTGAGATCAGTTTTGATTAGTTGAGTTCATCTTGAGAGCTATCCACGCTCCTCTAAGCATAAGGTTATAAAAAAAACTATCTACCCCATTTCCAACAAGAAGGGATGGATTTTCCAAAAGTGTGAAATACCCCTTAAATTCACATAGACGGTGAGACAGACGGAAATGGCCAGATGGACTTGGCTTGTAGTCCCGATTGACAATATATAGCATTTACAGCCTCGGACGAGTCTCCTTCTGTCAGTTACATACATTTGCAGAAAAGCAATATACCCTTTTTTACACATTTCGATACACGGTATACAATTCAGTGGGTGGAAAGCATTGAGTTGTCGACTCGACACCGAGCGACACGCACGCACAAATACTCACAGCTACGTCCCGCAGGCCAAGCGCGATATAATAACTGTAAGCGAATCGCATCGCATGCAAAAGCATTTCAAGTCGGAAATCGCATCGCGCAAAATCTATATTTATCTTCCAAAATCACAACCTCCCTGCATATACACCCACATATACAAATTGCAGCTGATTTCGGCTGGCAGTAGCCATGCACGGGCCCGGGCAGGCGACATTTCAGACTTGACTTCGGTCTTCTACGGTTCACGTTTTAAGTATTCTAGTCGAATTATATACGATTATCACAGTCGCAGCTGTTGGTGGCTGCCCCAAACGCGGGATCAATTCAGCCGGGCCTCAGCTGTTTTAGGATCGTTCGGAAAAAGCTGTTTCTTATCGTCAGCTCGCTATTCGCACAAACAGTCAACGCAATCATTTCGTATTCGTAGGCAGATTCGATAAGTCATCGCAGTCATAATTTTAGTGTAACTCAGTTTTGTGATCATTCAAATACAAAAAATCGCATACAAGAGCTGAAAACTACATTTCAGTAACTAAAGTGTTTATGTGCTCCGAAAATCTGAATTCAAACAAAAAGCATCAATAAGTTCTGCTGACAAAATATATTGTAAATTAATGGAAAAACTCATATAAATTCTCACACAGTTTACGTACTTAACGTGCAACCGAAAAATGAAAATATAAATTAATAACAAGAGTGATCCAGTCGGGAGTGCCAGTCTAGGAGATACCTGAAGCATAACGACGAGCTGCCGTCTAAATTTCTTCTTAAGAACATACTCATCACACATACACACACAGTTTACGTGGCTGTGCCGCTTCTTCCATAATCCCAAATTTTCGGCGCATCCAAATATGTGTCTATTACCAAGCGCAAGATCATAATTTTGGAGAAATATTCTTATTCTGTGTATACAAGAGTCTACATACTTCTAAAGCTCCAAGATACGGTTAAAAAAACTAATTTTAACAATTACCGAATTCGTGGAAACTGTGTTACTACGATCATTAAAATTTAATTGCGCACAAAAGGCGGACCTACTTTCCTTATTTCAGGTCTCCAGTCATTTAGTGTCTAAGATCGACGTCGTCTTCATCAAGAATGTGTTTACTTTATGGATTCGTGCTGTCTTTTGTCGGTTACATAAATTTGTACGATCATATTAAAAAATTTTATAAATTTGCAATGGTCTGGATATAACATTAACTCTGCAGATAGAGAATAAAACATTTGTTCATATAACAAATTATTAACAAATCGTCCCAGAGCAGCTGTACAATTTAGCGTCTGATGCTAAACCTAAGAATCACTATTAGATTATTTTGACTCATGTTTCATAAATTCAATAAGGACAAAAGAAAGCAACCGCTAGTAGCTAGAGCTACATAGTTGCTCAGATACACAGAGTAGACTTGCAATTATTGCTGTTTGCAAATACGAATCAATGTCAAGCTTCAGCAAGACAGCTTTAAAACAGAAGCTTTGCTGCCAATTGCTATAAGCAATATGAGGGATTGCACACGATTCATTTAATGACAAAAATATACTATTATGCAAAAGTAGTCAACTCAACAATATTCTCTTAGTTTTGTATAAGTATATTAAAATTTGGTTGAAGAGCTTATGCAGAAGAGGAGGGGTCCAAGAACGCTCAGATGAGGGACTCCGACCATAACTTAATGAGACAAAGACTGCCTCGCCCCAACTTTAATCGTATGAGCCCTTAGGTAATCAAGTGTGCTTATTTTCATCTCGATCCCAAATATTCTAGCTTATCATTAGACTTATGAACGATCGATCAAATTATTGGCTCATATAATTGACTGTTAACGTAAATTTCAGCGTTAATGTAATTAAATTTTATGCCCTAACAATAAAAACCAAGCTCTGTATGTAACAGAGGAGGAGACATCTCTGAATCTATAAAATGTAAAGTGTCTATACGTGACTATCATTAATATGCGAATTTATCGAGCTATCGATCTCTGGCACTAATAGGGCTGGAGATGCCAAATTTGGTGTGCGGTTATTTTCTAGAAACTAACTACATATACTGTAAGCAAATGATTATTTTACATCAGAACTGGGAACGGGGTACTATCGAATAGAGTTTTCTTACTAAATTTGATAAAGTAAGAAATCTCAGCATTAATCAGTGTTCCAAAGACGATTGCCGCACTTGCCCCTGGGCAACATCCTTGAATTAAATAGATCGCCAGCAATGACATTAATTAAAAGTATTTGTAAACAAACTACAACGTTCTTAACCTGAAACATAATGATCTTCACTTTTTAAATTGAGTCTGACAAACATTAGGCATGCCTTGACACTTCTATGTGAAATCTGTGAAACCTAAATTATACATTTTTGTTTTTCATGAAGCTTAGACGTTCCGGGAATTCAAAGCGCTAATTGACTTTAGTAACTAAACGAATTCCGCTCAACGCGAAAAAAGGCCAATTAAATTAAATGAGATGCGATGCACACGCCACAAGTGCAGCAATACATTAAGGCCATAGGCTAACGTGGGTCAAGTTCGGGGGAGTCCTTCTACTAGACTGCGTCGGCTGGTAAATGTGAATGTAGCTGGAGTTAGAAACAAAAATAGCACAATGCTGGAAGTGGACAAAATGTTGGAAAAGTGCGGCGACTTCAGTCGACTGCAGGTGTTTATGCTGCTACTTTTCAGTGTGATCAATTTGCTCTCGGCCATGCATTACTATTCGCAGACGATCATAAGTTTTGTGCCCAAGTACTGGTATGTATAAAGAACATATGAATAACATGGCGTATACTCAACGTATATCAATCATACGCCCAGGTGCGCTGATGGCCAGGAGTTGGAAACAGCAGCTCCAGATGTATCCAGCTGCCAGCCACTGAACACAAATGCAACAGGGCATGAGACCTGCCATAGCTACAACTATGAGACATACATGGGCTATCAGAGTTTCACCAGCGAAATGAACTGGATATGCGGTGAGGCGTGGAAACTAACCTTGGGCCAGTCCATGTTCTTTGTAGGTTCCGTGGTAGGCACTCTTGTGCTGGGCTATCTGGCAGATATAGTGGGTCGGTTGCCCATACTTATATTGGCGAATCTTATTGCCATGACGGGCAACTTATTGACCATTTTTGGCACGAGTCTGCCTCTATTTTGTATATTTCGACTTATTGCCGGCTTCGCCACTGACAGCAACTTTTTGATGATGTACATTCTGGGTGAGCACAAGAATAATAGTCTTAGCTAATATTTTTTTGAGTGGATTACCATTTCGCAGTTATGGAATATATGCGTCCCTCATTACGCACCATTGGCCTGAGTGTCTGCATCGGCATCTTTTACTGTTTGGGCTCAATGGGCGCGCCCTGGGTGGCGGTGCTCATGGGCAGCTGGCGTGGTTTCCTGCTTGTTACCTCGCTGCCGTTCGCATTGGTGCCGCTGTTCTATTTCATTGTGCCGGAGAGCGTGCAGTGGCTGATATCAAAGCAGAAATACGACAAGGCTATGGCCTGCCTGAAGCGCGTGGCCAAGATCAATGGCCGCCAACTTGACGATAGCGTCTATGCGCAGTTCATTGCGGACTGCAAATTAAGTCAGCAAAATACGAAGACTACGCCGAATCTACTGGACCTCTTCAAGACGACCCGCCTGCGCCGCAACACTTTCATACTGTTCTTCAAATCGTGAGTAGACAGCTGCCGCAGTCAAGTGGCTCACTTTTACATTCGCAACGATCTGTGTCTATGCCCTCATCCGCTCGCCCACACAGCATGGTCATTACCCTCTGCTACGATGCCGTCTCACGAAATGTGCAAGGCCTTGGCATTTCGCCATTTATCATGTTCTCACTGAGCGCAACCACGATTCTGCCTGCTTGCCTGATACTCATTGCTCTGCAAGATCGCATCGGGCGCAAGGCAATGGCTTCCTCATCGCTGCTCCTCAGTGGCGTTTTCATCTCGGTAACGGGCATCGTTCTCTATACCGCCAGTAATCACAGTAAGTTAAAGCTATCCCATCATTTACTTCTTTATTTATATATATGCAAATTTTGTGGAAGAAGTATTTAATTTAATTATATTTAGCTTGTTTTTATCTGTTCTGGTATTAGCTCAAGTTTTATACAAAATCTTATTTGCAACGTTTATCACACGGAAATTCGACTGTTTACTTTTTGGGCCTTGTTATACCATGTATATATGTATGTATGTATCAGGTAGAGAGAAATATCCATAAAGTGCATGTATTCTTGATCAGGACGACGGGCTGAGTCGAACCAGCCATGTCCGTCTGTTTATCATTGCAGAGGCATTGATCCCGGAAACTTAAAAAGATAGAGACTTTGAAATTAAAATATATATTCTTTTTCTATACCATACCCAAAACTTTTACCATTTTGTTGTCTATATTTCGAGCCATTTTCATTATATGGATAAAAATTGATACTCACATTTTGTGGTTCACCAATGTTTAGCCTCTATAATCTATTTTTTAAAGATGATTGTTCTATAAATATATTTGCAATTTTTGTTCATACTTCCACTTGTGAATTTGAGTTAGCAATTCGAATAATACATGTTATACATGTGGTTAACACTTAAAAGACTTTCTTGATAATATTTATAATAAGAGCGCAATTTACTCAGATATAAAAAAGTCGAAAATACAATGAACATATCTGGTTTCTGCTCTAGTTGAATGAGTTTTGAGCTTACACTTTCTTGAAAAGCTGCTTCAGTTGTATTTTTATTTATTTAAAGCATCTTTTCGTATACTCTCCCACAGACACCACAATAGTGGTAACGCTTTCCGTGATTGGGCGCTTCGGTGTCACCGTGGCCTACAACTCGGCCGCCCAGTACGCCACGGAGCTGATACCAACATGTGTGCGTGGCCAGGGAGTGGCTGCCGTGCATGTCATGGGCTATGCGTTCACATTCTTCAGTGCATACATTTTGTACACGCGGACAGTGTTCTCGCCGCTGCCGGAGATCATTCTGGGCGTGCTCTCCTTGCTGGGCGCCTGCTTGTGCCTGCTGCTGCCGGAGACGCTGCATCGCACGCTGCCCACCTCACTGGAGGAAGGCGAGAAGTTCGGCATTAACGAGCACTGGTACACATTTAGCTGCATGGAGAAACGCTCGCAGTCGGTAATGAAACTCGCTCCGGCACGTGGCAAGTCGCTTTCCGCTTCCACTGATTCCTCCTTTTATTTTTAAGGGCAGGTCATATCAACTCTTTTTTATAGAAAATGTTAGCATACTTTTAAGCTCCAACTTAAAGTTGTAAGCTAATTAGTTCAAGTAATGAATTACAATCGAAAATAGAATTAGCTTTAGATTAAGTCCTTGTGTAAACCAAAATTTTAATTTGAAGTTTAAATAGTTATTTTAAGTCTTAAAGTAAATATATGTTTTAAAGTCAGTTCATGATTGCCCAAAAAATACAAGTCAAACCTTCTACCTTAATAAAATGACATTTATAATTTGAAGATCAAGCTGATAAAGATGACGACTACGAAGTTTAGAAAATGATGTAATATAGTATAAAAACGTATTGTAAAATCTACTCTATTAATAGTGTAATAACTCTTAAGGTCGTACGATTAATTAGTTCGTATTCCTTCAGAAAATAATGATACTCTTTAGCTCATTGCGGCGGGGCTGAACGTATCCGAAAGATTGACTCGATCTTTAGAAGAGGTCCTCAGTAGTCGTGCTGCTTAATTTTGTGGCCTAGTCTAAGCCTCATATGGAGAGATGAAAGGACAGCGAGACGGACATAGCACAAAACCAATATACTCTTTTTCCATTTGGGAACAGAGTATAGAAATTAAATATTGTAATTAATGCCTAAAATCGAACAAATTTCGCTGCCTTTGATAACCTGAACAGATCAATCGATTCCGAAGTGAACAGACGTGTTTTTTTATGCGTTGCGCATTGCGCCTGATTTTTATTAGAACTTATATTTATAAGAAACATCTTCATTTATCGGTTTACCTTCCCGGGGAGAGTTGCTATATCGCGAGTGCATGTCTTGAATATTGAAAATAAGAACTTCTGAATTTGTGCCTTTGTGCATTTCTGTTTGTTGTTTTTGTGCAAAGCATAGTTGAGTTCTCTGCTGGTAAGCCGCTCTAAAATACATGTTTTTGCTTAGCTAACCGCTTTCGCAACTTCTTTTCAACCCGGTTTATCTTCTTTCTGCGTCTAGCCGCTTGTTGGTGTTGTTGACCAAACTTTTACTACTACTAATTATCTATTTCTATATATTTAACGCTTTGATTGCGTAGTTCTAATTACACTAAGCAACAGCATATGACCTCGTTTGCTGAAACTAATTTTTTAAATTGAATTATATTGCATGGTGTTTGCTCATACGGTTGCGGCACTTAATGGTGAGATGCCGGCGTTTATGCGACAGACTAGGATTGTCTTCACTAATCTGTTCATTGGTTTCCGTAAACTTATTGATCAGCTCACATACCTCATTTCTCTGCCCTAAAACTGATGGGTTTATCACAAATCAGAAACAGATAGAAGGAGACTTGTCTTAAAATATAAAGTAAATATATCAATAAGAACGATCTGACAGTATTAGAGCTCACACCGTTTCTACGAATTCAATTACAATCTCTCTCAATCTCTCAATGCTCTCAATCATTGCCCTTATTTAATTCCTTGTTCTTTTCCAGTCCTTAATCTAACCCATTACCTTTTCTTCTTTTAGTAATGTGTATGTAAGAGTCTGCCTCCACCCCGTCATCTATGTGATTTTTTTGGGTAAGTAAATAGTTTTATATATATCTACTAATGGATAAGAATTGAGCAAGGGATATTTCCTACAATAATATAAAGCATATATAGCATGCACCCAACCAATCTTCAGAAATGAAACATGAAAATAAATTATAAAAAAATTGCCTTTTATAAGATTTTCATTCCTACTCATTTTCTTTGTGACGTTTATCATATGTCATGAAGATCATAAAAATTATTCTTTTATCATATCAGAATATGGCCGTTTTAAAAATATATAAAGATAATAAGTAAAAATGGTCTAGTCAAAAGTGATTGCCTAGCAAGTACCCTTTGTAGAACTTAGTATAAACTTATGAATATACGTAACAATTTTGTAAGCCAATTGTATTTTGCAGAATTGTTAACGCCTAACCAATTTACATAAAGTTAAAATAGCATCTTGCCTTGAATAAGTTAGCTTGCGCCCGAATTTTCGTATTTCATAATACCCTTGTAGCCTCTGCTTTGTGAGTTCAGGGTATTATGCATCTTGATAGAAACGTATACAGCTTAACTTCTTATCAATATATACATATTACATATGAGTGTTAAAAGTAAAAAGAATCCCCACCTGCGGCACGGAAACCCATTCCAGAATGTATTCAGTGGCAACGGCTTGTCGGGTTGCTGTTTGCATAGACTCTACTTTGAATACTATAAAATATTGCAGGCTATAGATGCTCGTGTGGCTAGCTTTACGGTTGATGTATGTATGTATGCATGTGCGCTTACTTATATGTACACTTTTAGGAATATCTGCAGCAATTTTTTGGCAAACGCTCGACAGGCAACGAGCAATGTAGACGTTGTCGATCGCGAGAGCTACCTAGAATTCTGTTGCAATGGACTTCGAGAGTGTGTTAGACAAATGTGGCAGCTTTGGACGCTATCAGTTCGTCTTGCTGGCTCTCTATGGCTATACGAATATACTTTCGTCATTTCATTATTTCTCGCAGACCATCATCAGCTTTACACCGCCACACAGGTGAAATCTAAAATGAATTTTCAATTCTTTAAACAAGGTTAAGTATTTTTCTTATTTTATAGGTGCTTGCCCGCAGATGCACCCGACGTTTACGCATTCGTAAATATCACATCCTCTGAACGATGCAAATACATTGAATGGAATGCTGAGTTGTTAAGACACGAGGAAACCAAGTGCCAGTCTTGGCAATTTGAGCGCGAAAGCAATTATGAGAGCATTACAACAGAGGTATGTCAGCCCTAGAAGTAGGCAACACTTTTTCGAGTTTCACCAATTACACTCGCATCCCGATCTATTGTGCACAGTTGAAATGGGTCTGCGATGATGCCTACAAATTGGCCGTAGGTCAATCGTTCTTCTTCGTTGGCTCCGTACTGGGCACCATATTCTTTGGCTATTTGGCGGATCGTATCGGCCGACTCAAGGCATGTATGCTGACTACTTTGACGGGTGCCTTCGGAGATTTTATCACATCTTTTGTGCACTCGCTGCCATTCTTCTCGGCTGGCCGTTTTATAGCGGGCCTATCCACGGACACTCAGTACATCTTGATGTACATATTGGGTAGGTCTGATTTACTGTTAATTTCTTATAGAGGGATATTTAAAGCGTTTTTTATTATAATTGCAGTATTTGAGTATCTCAGTCCAAAACGTCGCACCCTGGGACTGAACATCGTTCTGGCTGTATTCTATTGCGTGGGACTGATGGTCTCACCTTGGCTGGCCATTTGGGTGGGCACTTGGCGCCACTATCTGTGGGCTGCCTCATTGCCGGCATTGGGCGTGCTCTGCTATCCGTGCTTGCTCTTCGAGAGCGCCGAGTGGTTGTTGACCAAGCGCCAATTCGAGAAGGCAGCGGAGTGTCTGCACCGCATCGCCAAGTTCAATGGACGTCAGGTGGATGAATATGTATTTGATGAGTTTATTAAGTACTATCACGAAAAACTAAACGAGGAGCAGAAAAGCACAACCGATACTTTCATGGGCATGCTAAGGACTCCACGATTGCGAAAATTTACAATCATACTGTTCATAAAGTCGTAAGTTTAGCGAGATCGGCAATGCTTCCCAAAAAGACTACAACCATTTATCTTCAGCATGATCATCACGGTGGCCTTTGACATACTCAGCCGCAATATGGAGGGAATGGGCACCTCGCCGTTCAAGCTCTTCTCATACACGGGTATTACATACCTGCCTGCCGGCCTGACCATCATATTGTTCCAGAACTACATCGGTCGCAAGGGCATGGCCTGCGCCTCCTTGCTTGTTGGCGCTGTCATTACGGCCTTGACGGGCTATTTGATAGCCAGCTTGGACCCAGCAGAACATTCAATTGTATTGGCCCTGATGGTGGGCTTGGGCAGATATGGCGGCGTTGTAGCTTACGATGCGGAGGCTCAGTATGCCGCCGAAATTATACCCACTAGTGTGCGCGGTCGAGGCATGTCCAATATACACGTTGTGGGCTATGCATTTGGTTTCTTTAGCTCATATATCATTTTTCTGGGTACTTTTTATAAACCTCTGCCGTCACTTTTTATCAGCTTGCTAATGTTTATTGGCTCCGCCTTGTGTCTGACGCTGCCGGAAACAGTGAAAAAGTAAGCTTTAATCTCGGTATTTCATTCAAATATTTATATAATTCTTTTTAGGAAACTGCCCCAAACACTGGCGGATGGTGAGACCTTTGGTATAGGCGAAAAATGGTATTACTTTCCCTGTTTCAGTCAAAAGAGGAAACTGGACGAGCAGACGATGACTGTTGCGTCTATAGAAAATACTCATAAAACAATTGTAGCCAAACAGTTTTAAAATAAAGTTTATAATTTATGGTATTTATGGTATATACTTTGCAACTGCATTTCGTCTCGAAGTTTCATTAAGATGGAATCTAAGTGCCTTATGGCGAAGTGCTACTGTTAAGTAGTACTACTTTGGATGAGATTATCCTATTATTTCAATTAAATTTTATGGCTTTATTGCGCTATTAAGGTATTATAAAACAATAAATGCATAAATCTTAAATAATCTAAAGGGAAACGTCAGCGTTTACCCATTGCCTGAGATCAGCAGCATGATTTATACTTATCACGTCGATGATTGCGGATCTTGTACTTTCGTGCCAGCCAAATGTTTTACAGGAAGGGGCGTGCGCTTGAGCCAGCGTGTTGGTAGTATATCGCAGTGTCAATAGAATTGTATTCTATACTAGATACCTGCACGTATAAGCCGATCTATAAAGTTGTCAGGCGCCAAATTAAGTCAGCGGTAATTCCTTTGATATGTTTACTGTACAGGCGTGACTTACAGCATCCGACGCAACTAACTCTGGTATAAATCTTAGACTAAGCTCTTTTGCGACTGCCAGAAATGCTAAGTCCCTTGCCCGCTTGGTCGGCCGAGTTAAATGTCTGATAAGAGAAATGGCGAAATATTCACTTCGCGAAAAAGCCCCACAAAGCATTTTTTAGGCAACGCATCAACAACGCCATGGCAACAATCACTGGGTCAGTCAGTATTTGACAGTTACAACTCTTCGACTGGAAGGATTACGTTAGATCCCAGATTTAGAGGCATTATATTATGTAAAGTAGGCAATTAAAAAGCGGACAGCGTCTGACTCTTTGGCACTCGCTTTGTCTAAACGTACGAATACTGTGTTTGTGAAAGTCTCAAAGTATTATAATACAACAAAGATAGCTGAAGTCAATCTTTGGCACTAATTTCGCACCCTAATCTCAACAGACGCCTACCGGCCGCTATTCTATATAAGGCAGCCGCTCGAGATCCGGACATCAAAATACGACGCGCTTAGCCAGCTGCAAAAACACTTAGACTTTTGTTGGGCACTGAGCATGTTGTTAACGGGGAGCTTTCAAGTCCTCGATCTGCCCTCTCTAGCTGTTGTATAAAGTGTGTTTCATTTATAAAAGTAGACGGATTGCTGCTAGGTGTAATATTAAATATGGATTTCGATCGTGTGCTCGACAAGTGCGGCAGCTTCGGGCGCTTCCAGTTTGTTATTCTAATATTATACGGCTATACGAATATACTTAGCTCGTTGCATTATTTTTCTCAAACCCTTATTACGTTTACCCCGGAACATTGGTTAGTACAATACTTAAATAAATATATTTGTAATGTTTTGCTAACTCCAAACTGTTTACTTGATCGATGCAGGTGCTCCCATGATGACCTTCATGGTCTCAGTGCAGACTCGATACGCTCTATTTATTCGAATATAACCCAACCCTCATGCACTTTACTCGACGGCGTGATCAATGGAACGGGCATTGCGGCCGAGGAGGAGACTTGCCAGGATTGGATTTTCGAACGAGAAAGCGGCTACGAAAGCCTTACAACAGAACTGAAGTGGGTCTGTGATAAATCGCATCAGCCGGCCGTGGGCCAATCCTTCTTCTTTGTGGGCTCTGTGGTGGGCACCATTACATTTGGATATCTTTCGGATCGCATTGGCCGGCTGCCTACCATGTTAATGGCAACTTTAGCTGGCGCTTCTGGGGATTTTATGACCTCGTTTGTGCACACCTTACCTTGGTTTGCATTCTCGAGGTTTGTGTCGGGTCTCTCCACCGATACCATGTACTATTTGATGTATATTTTGGGTGAGTTTTGCTTCGCTAAAGTGAAAATATTTTATGATCTTGTGGATGCTAACAAACAGTTTCAACTTTCCAGTGTTCGAGTACCTCAGTCCCAAACGTCGCACCTTTGGTCTCAACATCATACTCGCCTTCTTTTATTGCTTTGGATTGATGACTTCGCCCTGGGTGGCCATTTGGATTGGCAACTGGCGCCACTACCTCTGGCTAGCTTCGTTGCCCGCCCTCGGGGTGCTCGCCTACCCGCTGTTCATCTGCGAGAGCGCCCAGTGGCTGCTCACCAAGAAGAAATACGATCGTGCCGTGAAATGCCTCAAATGGGTGGCTAAGTTCAATGGGCGGCAGGTGGAGGACTCTGTGTTCGACGAGTTCGTGAAGCACTATCGCGAGAAGATGAACGAGGAGCGGAAACTGAATTCCAATGAGGATACGTTCATGGGAATGTTCAGAACACCACGTCTGCGACGCTTCACCCTGACCTTGCTGCTTAAATCGTAAGCGATTGCATTGCTCATAATTGACAATTCTACAATGATATTTATGCCCACAGGGTCATAATCACACTCTCATACGATGTGATCAACCGGAACATGGAGGGACTTGGTACCTCCCCCTTCAAACTATTCTCGTTCACATCCATCAACTATTTGCCTGCAGGCTGCACGATTCTTCTACTCCAAAACATCATCGGTCGAAAGGGAATGGCTTGCGGTGCGCTTCTGGTGGGGGGCATTATCACCACAGTTACAGGCTTTCTAATTGCCTTCATGGACCCTAAGGAGAATGCTCTTCTGCTGGCTATTATGATTGGACTGGGCCGCTACGGGTCCACAGTCGCCTACGATGCTGAGATTCAATATGCCGCCGAGATAATACCAACTAGCGTGCGAGGGAGTGCCGTCTCAAATATACATGTCATAGGACTGGCGTCCAGCTCGCTGGCCTTCTATGTGATATACTTGGCCAAGTTTTATAAGCCACTGCCCTCAATTTTCATAAGTTGTCTTATGTTCTTCGGCGCTGGACTTTGTTTGACGCTTCCAGAAACTTTACACAAGTAACTCACTCACACACTGTTAATCCAAAATGCGCAAAACATCTTATATTTTGCTTTTTATCTAGAAAACTACCTGAAAACCTGGCCGACGGGGAACGCTTTGCTATGAACGAGGGCTGCTTGTACTTCCCGTGCTTTAATAAACGTCGCGAAAGTTTGGCCCCCAATTGCGATAATAAGTCTGATGCATAGAACTTTTGTTTAGCTGATGCTGAACTAAAAAGTATACCGATAAACCTGAAACTGATTAAGCAACTAACTAACCTGATGATGAGCTTAACGTGAAGTTAGTTCCTGTAACTGAATGGTCTGATAAGTATTACTCATGTAGAGAATGCATAGTAATCGGGATTTAGCCGTTAAATTTTACTATACGTACTCGTATTCCACTTAAGCTATGCTGTTTGTAACTAAACTGAACTGAACTAATTAAATATATATACTACATTTCCTTAAAATATAACAATATTTACAACTTAACGCAAAGTTTTACTGCTAAGCTAAGTCCTCTCCATATATTTAAACTTGTATCCTGTGAACATATCGCCGCGTTTCTACGATATCTATCGAAATCGATAACCGACATTAAGATTAAAGTTGAAGAATGCCTTTCCCGTTGTGTATGGCTTATGAAAAAAGAAGCACATTAACATCATAGAGAGCTCAGCTTAAGTCGTGTTTGTGTCTTTTTCTGTGTGAGAGAAGGGAGACATTCGCTTTCCTGGGGCTTGACTAAAATTTAATAAAGTACATATATATATATATATATATATATATATATATATATATATATATATATATATATTATACAATATTCTAGCGTTATCTTGATGTGTATAAATAGTTATGCTTGAATGTGCTGATTAGAAACATTAAGAACAATAATGTAGGCCCGTATATTTAATAAAGCTTAATATTGCCTTGCTTCCCCCAGGAAGCATTAATCTAAGAATGAAAAATAATTTTGTAGTTGGGAGGGCTGGACCCGTTTCCGTATTATTATATTGTTTTACCAAGATTATCCGGATCTCTATTAACCGGGAACAACCATTGACTGCGATGCATAGTAGTTCATTTGATGCCTCCATTAGCACTGATTTAATATATACTTTTAAATCAACAGAAATCAAATATACCACAATATTCAAGTTATTCATACTCTTAAATAAGGCTCTAAGTTCACATCAGACACATGTTTATAGTATTATCTACAAGCATTGCTTTATATAGTACATTCGAGAATGCTGATAAAGAAGACTTTCAAAATTGCCTAGAATATGCGCTGTAACCAGCTTTGACCTGCGTATATCCTTTCTTGGTGACACACATGCAAAAAAAAAAACACGAATGCCGAAATCTGCATTGTGACATAAGCGCTACGCTTCTTCTTTCATTTATTTTTAGCTCCATATCGCATTTTTTTTTTTCATTTTTTAAGTCACTTCGGAGCTTACTGTGTAACCATTTCTTTTTTGTAGAGGGCATACCACGATAACAAGCCTGTACGAATTCCAAGTTCAGTTTCATTTGGTTGAGTCAAGTGAGTAGAAATAGTTTCCGAACGGCGTATTAAACCAAAGTGAAATGTCAGTGGAATATTTTTCTAAAATTTCGCTTTTGCTGATTTTTTTAATATTTTTACCATTGATTTTGTCAAATCTGATAAATATGTCAAATAACTATGTTGCGCGTTCCCAAAACAGTAACCTAAGGCCGATGCCTCGCGATAATAATACTCAACACAAAGTTATTTATGACTACCCAAAAACTATTGCAATGCCGAGATCCAAAACAGCAAAAATAAATAAAAAATTAACAAGTAAGCGACTCAAGTCGGGAGTTCCCGACTAGGATAATAAACCACAATAAACTCTTCCAACTACCTTCTAAAGTATATCTTTGTGTTCTCAAGAAGACAATTTTAATTGATTGTCTGCAATCGGACAGACAGACGGACAAACGGACATGGCTATTGATACTACTATTGCTATTGATACTAATCATCAATATAGACAGTTTATGGAAGATAGTTCCTTCTGCTTACAATACAAACCATTTCCAATGAGTTTAGGATATAAAAATTAAAAATATATATACCTCACACAGCTTTAAAACACATGGAATTGGAAAAATACACCAAAAAACAAAAGGATTATTTGATAAAATTGCTAAAATATAAAATTGAAGCAATTAAAAATTTTGATGAACGTTTGAAGACTCAACTGCGAAGCTCTCAAGAACAGATCGGAATCCTGGAATCAGCTAAAATCAACTGTCAATCTTCTTTAAGTCTTAATAATGAAAAGATTCACGACATGGAAAAAGTATGTCAACAAAATTTGACAAATTTACAACATAGCAACATTGAGCTGAAAGAAAATCTTTCATTATGCATGATTGAAATTGAAAGCAGTACAAAACTTAAGGAAGAGAAAGAAGTCACAGCACAACTCAACTCACAAAAAGAGGCGTTACAAAAGAATTTAACTGAATGTGATGTAAAAGTTTCCCATCTTAGTTTGAATATTGATTCATTGCAATCTACACTTGACGATTTCCAAAAGAGTATGAATACTCAACTGCAAAGCTCTCAAAATAAATTCAGAGACGTGGAGTCAATTTTAAGCAACTGCCAATCTTTTTTAAGTCTCAGTGAAATTCAAGTCGCAGAGTGCAACTCTTACGTAAAGAGCAATAATGAAAAGATTCACGACATGGAAAGAGTATGTCAACAAAATTTGACAAATTTACAACATAGCAACATTGAGCTGAAAGAAAATCTTACATTATACGACAACTGTCCACCCTTTGGCAACGTAACAGATGCTAAGTTAATATCCGTACCCAACCAGCAACCTTTAAAAGTGCCCTGCACCGTAGACAGTGATAACTATGTCTGGTCAGTTATTGAGCGTCGGTTGGACCAAAATCTAAACTTTAACCGTGGCTGGAAGGAATACCGCGATGGGTTTGGAAACTTTAATGGCGAGTTCTTTATCGGACTGGAAAAAGTGCATCTGATGACATCGTCAAAACCTCACAAGCTGTTAATACGTTTAGTTTCTGAAGGTGAAACTCGAAACGCCATTTACAGCAACTTTAAAATTGGCAGCGAGAATGAGGGCTATCCAATAACATCACTCGGCACATATTCAGGAGATGCTGGCGATGGATTGCGGGAAAGTCTAAATCAAAAGTTTAGCACCTTCGATCGCGATAATGATCAAGTCGAGGATGTTAACTGCGCTAAGGATGCGAAAGGAGGCTGGTGGCTTACGGAATGTGGCAAGTCGTAAGTGCATATTGTTCGAATAAATTGTAAATGATTTATCTCACATTTTATATATCTTTAGAAATCTGAACTTTAACCGTTATCAAAAAGTGCTCTGGAACGATCTGCTGGACAGTCCAGTTTCTGTAGAAATCTCGATACGGCCAACAGATATTGCGAACAATTAATGTAGTACATACACAAATAAATAAACAAGCTCAAATAAATTTGTATACATATGATAATTGTATTACATATTTTTAAATTTGTTCTATATTTGTAAGTATCATTTGCATTTGCAATTGCAACAGATCAAAATCTACTCTTTCTAAATAGTAATACACTTAGAAAAACTATGACATACAAATGTATTGACGTATTTAATTCAGTTAAGTGAAATTGTGCCGCTTAAATGTTAACTATACGATTCCGATTCCAGTTTTGATATTTTACATACATTTGGAAAATATTTTCAAAGGCTAGTTTTAGAATTAAGTTATGAGTTGTATATATATATATATATTTATATTGTATATTGTTACTTACAAGTCTACATAGATAAACAAGCCTAAAATATTACATATATGTTCGTATATATGTCATAATATATATGCATAGCGTGTAAGCGTGCACGTATAGAAAGAATATGTATCGAAAAAGATGTCCAGATGCTGAGCACACATATTGTAACTTTAAGTTTAATTTGTGAATTGTTGCTTGTGAGGTATTTAAACAGCTGAATAAGCACTTTCCTTCCTATTTTCATTATTTATTTATAATTTAAAGGGATAACAGCTGCTGGATTTCTTCGTTGAACAAGCTACAATTCGATTCCAGATTTAATGTCATAGAGCTGTTTACCTGGGGCTATTGTTATAGTTGTTTGTTAGTTTAAGTATTTTTAGTGCTTACTTAGGGGCCTATACAAAATTGTTTAACTAAACTACAAACTAGTCATTAGCATTACAGATTGGCTCAATGCTTGGCATCCTTGAGGCTCTGCTCCTCGCGATCGGCATCGATCAGAGACTGCTTGCGCTTGGTATACTGACCGGACTCCATCTGCTGCTTGGCATCAATGAGCGAATGCTTGCGTTTGTACTTCTCAAGCTCTGAGTCCGAGTCGTCGTCGCCGTGATGCTGTAGGCAGGGGAAGTCGAACATACGTTCGCCCTTACCAAAGACCTCACCCTCCTCGATTGTAGTAGGTAGACTCCTGTCAGGGCAAAAATAATCAAAGTTGAACAGTTTGTTAGCTATACACAAAATTCGCACACTTACCGGTTCAGCGTCTCTGGCAGAAGCAGGCATACAAAGGAGCCAGCAAAGAAAAGTACGCCCAATATAATGGAGGGCGCTGCCTTGAAGAAGGTGCCCAGCCAAAGGATATAGGGCGCCAGGAAGGAGGCCGCGAAGCCAGCCACATGTACCGCAGCCACGCCCTGGCCGCGCACACACGTGGGTATCAGTTCTGTGGCATACTGCGAGCCCGATTCATATGAAATGGCCACACCGAAGCGCGCTGCAATCGTCAGGCAGGCCAACAAAATGGCATTGTGATTATGCTGCTGATAGGCAATGGCAATGCCAGCGGCAGCCGTGAACAAACCGCCGACGAGCAGGGAGCCCGACGCCATGCCCTTGCGTCCAATGCGATCCTGGAGAAGCACCAGTAAAATACTTGAGGGGAGAACAGCCAGGGCGCTCAACGAGAACATTATGAACGGCGAGATGCCCATTCCTTCCACATTACGCGACACGGCGTCGTAGCACAGTGTAATCACCATTCTGGAATACGCTGCGTATAAGTAATGTGTCGGCCTGCTAAGAGCCTTAAGACTTACGACTTGAAGAAGAGAATCAGCGTGTTCTTGCGCATGCGTGGCGTCCTGAACATGTCCAATAGCGTCGCATGCTTCTTGTCATCGCCGCCTTGCATCTCGCGGGTTATTTGACAATGGCGCCTGAACTCATCAAAGTCCGCCTGCGTCACATGGCAGCCATTGAATCTGGCTACGCGCTTGAGCCGCATTATGGCCCCATCGATATCATTACGCGTCACCAGCCACTGGGCGCTCTCCTGCACCACAAAATAGTAGAGCACCACCAGCAATATGGGCAGTGATGTGCAGGCCAAGTAGATCTGCCAGTGCCCGGCCAAAACTGCCAGCCAAGGCGTAAACACCAGGCCCAGGCAATAGAACAGACCCACAGCCATATTGAGACCCAATGTGCGCATGCTGGGGCGTATGTATTCGAGAACTATGGAAACAAACGTTAAGCATAACTTGATGTAGGCAATATAAGGGATGTATTTACCTATAATATACATGAGATAAAAGTTTGTATCGGCCGCCAGGCCCGATATGAAGCGGCACAGCGTAAATGTTGCCACGCTCTTAGTAAAGATGGTTGAAAAATCGCCAGCAAAGCCGCAGAAGTTCGACAATATCAAGGCTGGCACACGTCCAATTTTATCAGACAGCAGCCCGTAGAATAGTGTACCCACAACGGATCCAATGAAGAAAAGGGACTGGCCAATGCGCGCCTTATACGCTGAGTCACAGACCCAGTTCAGCTGTTGATTGATTGGCAACAAAAATAAAAAAGGGTTAAATTTGTAAAAAGCTTAAAAATAAGATCATTTTGAATACCCTTGCAGACAACAACGATCATTTTCACATCTTAATATAACCACCGACCGCCCTTATTAAAATTTTGGAACCAACTGTTTAGATCGAACAGCTTCTAATTACTGTATATATCATAATCAGCTTGGGTAAAACAGACAAAGTTTCAATTTTGGAATTAACTAAACTTAATAAGCTTGTAAAATATCAAATTAAATTAATGTTTATTATGTAATACGGTTTTATCCCCTTAAATGTTTTATATATCAGTCCACCAAGTTTTGCAGATCGAGAATTCACGAAGATACTTGTATGGCGAGAAAGATAATTTGAGTAGTGGAGGTCCGTAATCTTTGTTGGCTGTGAGAATCGCGGGATTAATTATGAAGCCTTACTTTTAAATTCTATAGTTTTCCTAATTTTTATAATTTTAACATAAATATTGATTGCATTTCCAAGTTTTAATATGTTGATTATAGCAATATTAACCCACTAATGAACGTTTCAATTTTAATTTTAATCTTAAATTTCAAATAAATATCTCGTTAAAAAGAATAGAGATTCAGCTATCAGATCAGTATTCCGTACTCACCTCGGTGTTCATGCTTCTATAGCCAAAATCATAGTTATAAATCCATCGTTCGCACTTCTCAGAGCTGACTGTCACATTTCCAGCATTGATGTCCGCTAGACGCGTGCACGAGGGACTCTCGAATTTGGAATAGATGTCAGCTATCTCCTTATACGTCATGTTAACTAGCTTTTCGTGATAGCACCAATGATCCGGCACGAAACTAATCACAGTTTGTGTGAAGTAATGCTGCAGTGAATAATACGGTAATTATAAGCTGTATCATAATATATATATAGGGTAGACATTGAATACGCACCATTGATACGATAATATTAATGAAGCCAAAGAGTGCGAGTATCATGAACTGATAGCGATTGAAGTCGCCACATTTGGCAAGAATTTGATCGAAATCCATTGTGGCCTTTACTGAGTGGCTGTATTTGATGTATTAGATGTTTTTGTACTCGATTAGGTGTGTTGTTCCTCTATTTGTAGCTGCCTGACCAGTCCACGTGCTGTTGCTAAATGGCCGTTGGACTCTTAATGTAGTGTATCACAGTTTGTTCTGTGTGTGTGCATGTATGTGTGCCTGTTGTGTTGGTTGTTGTGTGTTGTGTGTTATGTTTTGTTATCCAAAGAATAAATATCTATGCATTTGGTTCACATTTGTTTTGTCTGTAAATACAAAAAAAAAACATATATGCTTATTGGTAATATTATAGAGCAAGAGCTTGGAACATGTTTATATATTCCATTATTTGTACAGACAAGCTTTGCCTGCATACGTAAATAAATTCAGATTTAATTAGCAAGCGATATGACACACACGATTTATACATATATACATATCTAAGGCATTTCAAATTTAATTAAATACATTTAAAGCATATTATTCTTAGGAAACCAATTTATTTCTTATTTGTCGGCAGCCGGTCATTTTTAATTTTTAATTAAAAATGCAAATATTTAGTTGAAGAGAAAGTTGATTGAGCTAAATTCGTTCGACTTTCTCAAAACAAGTGCAAACTTTTTTTGTCGCTGTAAATTTTTGTTTTGATTGTACTTTCAGCTAACCTACAATAATCTTACTCTTTCTACGAAACAAATAATATATGCACAAATAATACTTATAATTTGCCTGTCACACTCTGAGCGAGGGTTGTAACTTGATTATAATGTATAAGAAACATATTATTTTAACTAGTTAGGCCCTACAGCTTATTTACTTAAATGGAATGTATCTAGAATCAATCAGGCAATTTCAAAGATTTATTAGATTATTAACATAATATGCTAATGCTCTGTTCACAGCTAAAATGGGGCTACATATGGCAGCCGCTGAGTAAGAGTCCAGATTTTTGTTATCGGACAACTTTCGAGCCCTGGGAACTATGGAGTGAGCTATTCCGCCTATCAGTAACACAGTGTTCATATTAGCAATCGTTTAGATACAACTTTATTGTTGAGGGGAAGCTGACTAACGGGCAGCAGCCGCTGGCTGGCAACTGCTAAATGCCGATGGCTGACTAACTTACAGCCCCGTTGATTAGAGCATTGCTGGCAATAATTGGAGTCTCGTCAATGGTTGTCAAGTAGTCAAAGTAATATACTTCTAATTAAGTTGAAGCACGTGTTTCTGCTGTCGAGTTCGTTTTACCTTGTTTCTGAACGCTTGAATAACATATATTACAATAATTTATCAGAGCACTCTCGTTTTGCATTGAGTTCATTTGAATTGAGCTTAACTCAATCTGGAATGCTAAGGTAACATATGCAATGAGTTTTCTATGTATGTCTAAATATTTCAATTTTATTTCAACTTTGAATATTTTACATTTGACAACTGGTTTCAGTTTAAGGCGATTGCCAAAATCTGCCTGAAGTGCTGTACTTTTTTTTTTGTAAGAAAACTCGTACAAAGATTAAGCACAACTGAAAATTTGTTCAAGGTCCTAAAAGCCAAAAAGTGAAACGCAGATGATTA